AAGGGGCGGATGGGGTACATGCTGTACTTGCAAGCTCATTATACAACGTTGTAATTGATGAGTGACGAAAAGGAAGCGATGGAGGTACGAGGGGGAGAAAAGGAGAGAATTGTCAAGGGCAGAAACATGATGAAAGTGTCCTAATCACTGCTTGCATGGCCAGAGGAAGATCAATCACTGACGACAGGAAAGACGGCTCAAAGCAAAAATTCCTCCCGGTGATCCCTTTGTTTCCCGAAGTTAGCTCTTCTGCGGCTTTTCACATCATTAACGTGCGTTTCTCTCGATTACTTATCTGCAGTCTGATATTCGGGATTTCTGGGAAATCTTCCCGGCTTTTGTAAAAAAAAAAAAAAACAACTCTCACGTTGGTGGAGGAACCTTGACGGATATCTTATCTTAGCGTGAAGGCTGGAAGCAGGAGGAAACCGCGATCCTGGCTCCGTCCAAAGGGTAGCAAAACCCACCTACCAGCAACGGCCAGCTTTTCACTTCCGATTTCAAACACTAAATAAGCAAAATACTAATTTGTCTTGCATTCCTCAACACTGACGCAGCACCATGAATCAGATCTAAACACAGCAGCTTCACTCCAACATCTGATAAATGTGTATCGGGGGGGGGCATCCGGTGTTTTGCTCCAGGAGCCAGTAACCATCTAGCGATAGGCCAATCGCACAGCAGATCTGTGCATGCTGTCCTTTGTAACCCGATAAGGAACAAGATCATTAACTTGAAACTCTCTAGGCTTTTGCACGGCAAAAGGCACAACAGAGTAAATGACTATTAGCATTTCTAACAGACTTAAATGCTCATCTATTGCGCTACTTATATTGCAACCGCAGATTGTGACGGGTTGTACCGCGCATACAGATTTTCAATGAGCTGAAATCCATGAAACCGTACCCGGGCCTCTGGCGTCGAATGTCACAGTTGTGCTTGTGAGTCCGACCCCTTGCCGTGGTGTGAATGACGGTTTCTCATACTTGCAATGGACTGAACTGCAGAGTTCTGCTGATAAAGGCACATCTGGGAGGCGTCTGAGGATTTAAAGAAAAGCCTGGCAATCAACACTGCCCTGCGATATGCGAATATACGAAAACCTTGCAGACTAATGGCGCCTTGCTGACTGATATGCAGTGTGTGAGCTATCCAAACCCAATTCATATCAAATAAATTGAAAAAAAAAACAATTATTGTGTCCTGTTTCGAAGCCCCCTCCCCCCTAAAACAAATCTAATTCTCTCCCAGCTTTACGTTCCACATCTCCAGGTAATGGGGAACAGAGTCGATCATTTCTGAGAGCACTTTGTTGGATGTGGCACAGCAGCAGAGCTTATTTATGGGTCAATATAAACTTCCATCACCGCCGACTGAAGTTGAAAGCTGTGCCGGGGCTGCAGCAGAGATGAGGAATGGAGCAGAACCTCTGAATCGTAGAGCGTATAGGACCAAAGAGAAAAGGCTAATGCAGGGTGTCTCTGTGGAGGGTTGTACACTTTCTACAAATACAAACACTCATATGTTCATATTTAAACTGTTGTTTTTTTTCCTGGAAAGACTGTTTAAAGGCTTGGCTTGAATTTTCTGCCACTTTTACCAAAAACCTGACCACGTCAGCGATAATGAAACAGTCTTTAAGAGACGTCGTGTTCAATGCATCACCGCCAACAATAATTAGAACAGTGGAATCACTCCTGGGTGAAGAGACAATGTAACAGGACGACAGTTTAGGTAATTAGTGCCGGCCATTAAGAGGATAATTCGCGTTACTTAACGAGGTGCGGTAAATTTGTCAAATCTGAAGCACGGGTGGAATGCTGAACGACCGCCGCAGGAGGACCGGGGGCCGATGATGGAGGCGGGGGGTGGGGGGAGTCACCGCGCTGGTGTTGTGGATCAACTGGTATCCCTGTTAACTGCTCGTTTTCACCCGAATGCACCGGCGGATGCCTGTGGAAACGCCAGATGGCGAAGACGCCAGATGACATTTAGCGGCCCTCGTTAATGTCTTAACTGTTGTCTTTTTCATTACAATTTCAAAAAACACACCCATCTGCTGCTTTTGGAGGCTTGGACTTTAGGTAAACGATGAGCATTCAGTCCCATTTTACGCTCTAACCACCGCACTCTATCGACATTCATCGTGTGGCGACACTCTGACCTGCCAGTGTCACAGAGGAGACCTTTTGACACGCCACAGCAGGGAAAAGCCCAGCTAATTAATAACCTCAGGTAAGGCTGCATTCTAAGTTAGGTGATCCAGTTCTGGTGTTACGCATGCCTGCTCATTGGCATGGGCTTAATGAATCACCTGAATGGAACACAGCCATTATTAGTGTTATTAATTACACCCGTGCTTTGAACTATGACAAGTTAGAATGTCTTGAAAAATGTCAATTTCAGCCGCTAATTTATGAAAATTAAAACATATTTTCATCCCAAAGCCCTTGTTTCCATTATAGAGCTTTAAGATTCAATGGGTAGGCCGATGGGGGGCATCATAAATCTGCTTAAAATGTATTTCCATTCAAAAAATAAATCAAGGTCACTGGTGAGGTAAGACCTTTGTTTCACTTTGAGACAAAAAAAATCTGCTCGTAAATGACTGTAATGTGTGAAGGCAGCTGCAGCCCACTGAAGCCAATTCTAGTAGGTTCTCACAGGTAAATTGGCTTGAAAAGGGTCCAGTGTGTGGGATTTTGGGGAATCTGTTGTTAGAATATAATACATACATAGCTATGTTTTTATTAGCGTTGAATCACCTGAACCTGTGTTTCGTTACCTTAAACTGAGCCTTTATATCTACATATGGAGCGGAACCTCTTCACAAAGTCCTCCGTGTAGCACCGCAAAGTTTCTACAGTAGCCCAGAATGGACAAATTGGACACTTTCAGGCTCTAGACGGGGCCGTTTGCTATTTCGCGTCACCACAGTTCTCCTACACACAAGTTTTGGAGTTATGAGAAGCATCGTTTTTTTTCTATATCGAGACAGATTTCTGGACGGATAACAGTGGATGAACATTTGGACGGATAAGGATAATGTCAAAAAATGTGCGAGTCATGTTTGAGCGTTGAGTTAAGACTCTCTCCCTCAGCTTCCTCACTTCCCCTTCAAATCCCCCGTGTCCCCGTCCCCCCCACCCCAGAGGAGATACCCCTCACAGTTTGAGCCATCTTGATGTCAATTAACAAAACACAACATAGCCGCAGCTCTAATTTGTAAGCAGGACTGTGTTTGGGTCCGTCTCGGGCAATTTGTTGTTTACACTATTAGCCGCCTTGAGTCACTACACACACACAAGAATAAGTCTGCAATGTTTGGTTAACATTTTCTATCACAAACAGCCTAAGATCAATTACTCCTCTGCTAAATCACCGAGCTTTACTGCCCATGAATCGCATTTCCATGACAGCTTTATTGTAAAACTTGTATCATGGCCAGTACCGAGATGGGGTGAAGGGGGAGAACTGCAAAATATGCGGCGATGTTCAATAATGTGGCACCGAACAACCTCATTTCAATTCTAGCGGGCGAGGACAATGATTTTTCACAGACTGGCTGCGGCGAATATATCTTCCACATGTTTTGCCGCTGTGGTATCTCGCCATTCATCTCATTTACCACAGAGGGGATTGATGGGAATTGGTGATGTAACGTGGTGTAAATGGAGGAAGTTTTGCAAGGCAAAACAAAAATAAGAGGATTAATTTAGTTCAATAAGAACAATGTCTTTCAAACGTTCCCCCATCTGAAGAGAAAGTGAGATAAGCGCTCATAACTCATAAGCCAACTCATGCACAGACAATACAGCACGAAGAAGAAAAGTCAAAAGAGAAGATGCAAAGTGCTGATTTGCAGAAAGATAAAACAAAATCAGGCTGGAAAACCCACAAAAAGTTCATCTGCGTCTGTACTTTCAGCTGTCTAACCAAGGAGAAAATGAACAGAAATATACAAACAATTAAAAGCCATATTGTTTTTGTTTTTTTTATTAGTGCATCATATAAAGGCCGTAACTGTGTCCAAGTGGTTCCTCTACCACTAAATAGGTGTACTGGGCCCTGCCGCCTTTAAGGGCTTTTTTACAATGAAGGAACCAGCAGTCCGAGTTTCACCGCAGAATTTTAGTGTCCCATGTTGGCCACTAAAGCTCTTTTTTCTTTTTTTTTTTTGCCTGTCAAGCCTCTTTCTGCAGCCTAAACCCAAGTGGAATGATGAGGAGGAGGAGGATGAGGATAGGTGTGGGGTTCTTGCAGTTGTTAAACGGCATTTAAATGTATTTTCAATTTGTTGTGGTTTGCAGCATTGTGCTGCATTAAAGAAAACTCTGCTCAGTCAAGGTCTGCTGTGTCATTGTGTCGGTTATTCCTCGACTTTTCAACAACACAAGGAAGGAAAGGAAGAAAGAAAGAAAGAAAGACATAAACAAACAAAGAGCAAAATCCAACACAGAGAGTGAGTTTATTGAGTAGCTGATCAATGAGTGCAGCCTCAGCCAGACGAATGAGAACAAATAGGAAAGCGGAGACACAAACACCTCTGACCCCTGATTATTGGATAAAGGCGAGGCCAAACAAAAGAAAAATGGAAGGAATGACCGATGTGCGAACAAGCCTTTGGACACAAAGACTGAACAACATGCGTGGTGAGCACATGAGCGGAGCACAGCCTTGCAAAAAAATAAGGAAGGTGATAGATTGACGGAAACGAGAGGCAACACTGCTTGCAGCCTTGGACAGAATAAAAGGAATGGTGTGTGTGTGTGTGTGTGTGTGTGCAACCTGTTAACATTAAGATAGAGGTGGGAAAAGTGCAGCGTAAGCAAAAGGCAGAAAGAGAGAGGAACGGCAAAGAGGAAACTGAGAACAGGAAAGACAAACAAACAATCTGCAACAAAAAATACAGATGTGTACGGACCTCTGTGTGTGAGTGTGTGTGTGTGTGTGTGTGTGTGTGTGTGGGGGGCATTTGACAGACAGACGGGGACACTGACCTGTGAGGACGGCCTTGGCGGAGGGTTCGGCCAGGTCCAGGGTGGACTTGCCGTCGGTGTTGCGGATGTTGGGGTCGGCTCCGTGCTGCAGCAACACTGTACAACAGGGCAGACACAGACAGTAGCTGAGCTCCTGGACTGACATGCAAACTCCCCGACACACACCTCCCCCTCGTCCTCCTCCTCCTCCTCCTCCTCCTCCTCCTCCTCCTCCTCCTCCTC